TTTAGTACTAGCTTTGTATAACTGGTAATGGGCTAAATGTGATTGCTTTCATTCTTCCTTAACAGAGTGCTATGGTTAAAGAACACTTTGTTGCACTAAATTTTCAGGCACTGTGGTAGCAGACCCTTTTCCTTGTGTGAAGTCAGCTGGACTCCTTTACATGACCTATAGACCCCACAAATCATAACTTAGAATAAGGGAGACTTTTCCTATAAAACGTTACATATTTTCATTTTGTCAGCACAAGCAAATAAACTCAACTTACATGATCAGGATAGATCTGAATATTGAACTGCTGTGGGAATCACTGATTTGGTTAGACAAACTGGCCAGAGAGCTCCGAGGATTACTTGTCTTTGCCCGAACATTGTTGGCATTGCAGAAGCCTGCCACCCTCCCGTCTCACGTGGGTCCTGGTGATCTGAGCCAGGTCCTCAGGCTTGGGTGGCAAGTTTTTTACTTTGGCTTTTGTCAACTCTCCAGATTCAGTTAACTGTTTTAATGGCATTGTTGTCTGAAGTCCCATTTGTGTGCATCTAATCCAGTTATCAATTGTGTCTGGGACTTGTTTCCTCATATATTGGGGGTGATGTCATGTAAAGTTGTTGGGATCCAGCATGCTACACTCTAGATCTTTTATGTCTATCATTGCTGCTGACTTGAGTCTAAATCAAATGAGATTCAAAGTACCTCCTGGGAGCATCTACATCCCTTTTTCTGTTTTTCCTCCAAAATATTGCAGCTGCTGGGTATTAAAGCAAAGTAGTCACTTAAATTAGTAGTATTTTCATGAAATATAAATCTACCTATTACAAGTTTGATTGAAGGAAGTTGTAGGTGACAACTGCTAGCTAAAGCAACATGATCATTGGTGATTAGATGAGAGTGTAATGTATCATTGGCCCTGTTGCATTAACTCTAATTTCATGCCTGTGAGCACAGAGATAGGGAGATGCTTTCCATTGTCCCAAGTTCAAGTCATTCTATTTCCTGCTCAGTATTATACAGTGCTATTTGTCTCTCTTGCTTGGCCACCTTTCTTTTCTGCAATCCCTCCTATACACAGGTGCCGAGGATGTGGTACTGAAGTAACACCCACAACTGGACATTGTCTTTCCAAATTGCTATTCTGGCCACACTGCAAGAGACAGGATTCTCTTAAGAGAAGGAAAAGGAAGTGCCCTCCAATTGAATCTTGTCTCATCTGGCCTAGAAGCCTTAGTTCTTGGTTGTAGTATCTATTTGAAATGCCACAATAATTGCTTTGGATAAACGGCTCCAAACATAATTATAGCATAAGGCCAGGACACCTATAATATGCTCATTTAACATCTTCATCTTGAAGAGCCAAGAAGTTCGGAAGTATTCATAATAATGATAAAAAAATCAAGGTAACGATGGTCACTGTGGCAAAGGGACATAGAAGCCAAAAGAAACCTCATAGTATTCAAATCAGCAATATTTGAAGCAATTAAATGACCTCATACTGCAAAATCAGATCACGCATAAATAAAATCCATGAGTATACATAGGTACATGTAAGTAAATGAAAATGAGGAGAAAGATACCAAGCTCATGCAGAAGAATTCCAGATACTTTTATGAATTATCATAATCTCAGGACACAGAATATAACTCCTTGGTTCCTAAATGTAGACTGTTCACAGCAACTTCTTTCCAGGGAGTATACTACAAAGTAGAAAGGAAGGGAAAATACAATAACAATGAAGATAGTAGTCAGCTACTACCTCAGCCTGGTGACAAAATTTAACATCTAATAAGGGAAAGATGGATTGATAGTGTATACCTGTGGTAGGATGGGACCAGAGCAGCATTTATCTTTCCAATCTTCCTCCAAAAACACATAATCTCACTCTAATCATAAGACAAGCATTAGGTAAAGCCCAACTTAAAGACATTAAAGGCATTTTGCAAAACGCCTGACCAGTCTACCCCCAAAGGCCAAGGTTACTAAAAAGCCATGAATGTTTGAGAAGATGTCACAGCCATGAGGCACCTAGAAAGATAAGAAAAGTGAATACAGTTTCATCTGCCTGGTTGAACCCTGGAGTAGAAAAGGTTAAAGTTAAGAATGTCTATGAGAGCTTAGACTTTGGTTAATGGAAATATGTTAGAGAGTGTGATTCTTGAGCAAGAGTAAGAATCAGAAAGTGAGAGTCCTCCAAACAAAAGTCAAACAAACCCACAGTGGTCACCACCTGTCAAAGCAATGCATAAGCCAGTGGAAGAATTCCCAGTCATCAAAGTCAGAATCTGCTAAGCAAGCAGGTGCCATAGGACTGGATCACAATGCCAGGGATCAATAAAGTACAAGTGCACCATATTGAAGATGTCAATAATTAGATAACACAAGCAGGAAATAGCAGAGTGAGATAGATTTGAGGCTTCTCAGTACCATCTTCATAAATATTGTGGAAATCTAAAATTACTCTATAATAATAAATTGACATTTACAATGCCTCAGATTATCATGTTATACATGTTATGATGAGTTCTGCTCCTCATAACTGCCAATTGGAATCTTGCCTTTCAACTCAGACTCTTGGAAATTTTCTGTAATCTCCCTTTACAAATGGATCTCCCCCTCTACCTGTTTACAGACCCTGAGATATACTCTATTGCGAGTAAAGTCAGCTAATTTATTTATTTAATCAGTCATTTTTAAAAAAAAGATTTCTAGGCTTCCTCTGTGTTGATAGGACTGAGAACAAATAAACAATAACCTTGATCTTGTCTTAGTTTATAGCTTGAGTGGGAGGAACCACCAACATTGACTTCTGGGAAATTAGAAATTCATGGAGTACTAAGAGTGAATAATTGTGGAGATCATGAGACATTATCTAAAGAATTGATCTTGGCATTAACAAAGAAAATTCTTGAGGATTCTCTCTCTCTCTCTCTCTCTCTCACAAACACACACACATACACACAAACACATATACACACACAAGCATGTACATGTATACATATACATATGTGTGTGTACCCTGTTCTATATCCCTCCTCTTTTTCTTTATAGTTTATGTGTACATGATGGAGGGAGGTGGCGTTGGATGCATAGGCACTAAGACAGTACTTCAAGACTATGCCTCTGTGCTTGAGTGATGGAGCTGGATAGGAGCTAAGAGGCAATAGAAGGGACCATATACACTGAGACAGGAAAGAGGATAGTTGGACTTGAGATGTAACTCTGCATGCCTAGCATACACAAAGCCCTGGTTTGGGTCCTCATCATAGCCAAAACCAAACAAGAAACAAAAGGAGAGGAATGGCAGGCAGAAATCCCCTCTGCAACTGTTGTTGCAGGTATTGTTGTGGGACTCTGGGCTATGCATCAAGCTCACTGATAAACTCCTTAGGTGGGCATGTTCTCTACTTTACATCTGCATATCTGCTGTAGGAGTTGGGATTATGATTCTCACTTTACAGATGAGGAAATTAAGACCCTCCAATACTAAGTGGAAAGAGTGAAGTTCTAATGAAAATCAGTGGGTTAAGCTTTGGGCTCTTCTCTTCTCTTCTCTTACAGGAGATAGAACTACATATCTAATATAGGTCACTTTGGTGTGTTTCTTTAACAGCAGATGAAGGCTTTGTAGCAGTTGTTATTAGTACTTGGGGACAAGGTCCTCCCCTGCTGCAGCAGTTTGTCAGGGAGCATTGTCGGATGTGTCATGGTATCCATTTTTTTAACTAGGATGCAAGTGGCATCTTGCTCCTCCTAGAGATTACAAGCAACAAACTTTCTCTAAACTTTCCAATGACTGGTGGGAGAGAACCACATCATGCCCTGTTCCTACTGTACATAAAACACTGTGTTATAGCTGAGTTCTCAGAGAACTGTCTTAATTATCTGTTTTTTTCTGTCCCCTTTTTCCACTTGCCTGTGTTACCTTCTATGTATCTGGATAGTAGATAGTTGCCTTAGAGCTTATAACAGTATCATATAGAGCACTTGTTCAACAAATTCTTGCTATCTGTTTACTGAATGCCAAAGGTAAAAAATTATAAGGTCAAGAATTCTAAGAGCCCATTTTGGTAAAACGAAAATTCATTGTCTCTGAATTCAAAACTTGATGATAGGAAAGTTAATTCTTAATATCTTTTATAACTCTGAAAAACTCATTGCTTCCAGATGGAAGAAACTGACCCAAGCTGACTGTGGCAATGCAGTCCTTTAATCTCAGCATTTGAGAGGCTAATAGAGAAAATGGCTGGTTTATGGGCTGCTTAACAACAACAGCAAAATCAAAAGCCACCAACATCTACCCTGACCCAGGAGCTCATCTTCCCAGGAGCTAGTAGAGAGTGGGATTTATTAGGATACACATATACATTGGTTCATGCCTGCGTGAGCCCTACCTATTTAAATGGCATCCTATGTAGCCATGCCACAGAAAGCACATAGCATTCCTTCTAGAAATTCTCCCTTTCATTTGTGCATGCCATCTGGCTTTGACAATGATTCTGGACTAGATTTTTATTCAGTTCAGCCCCCTTATCATGGGTAGGCAGTGGGAAAGAGACCTGACCTGGCCACTTTATGGCCTTATAGGTTCTGCATCACTGGGTTTTTGCTTCTCTTCATTAGTCGGTGTTCAGAGAACCTTACATGCAGATAGCACAGGTAAGAGTGCTCAGCACAGAGTATCTAAATCAGGTGGTCTTTTTACTTGGCATGTAAGCTCCAGGCATTTGCTGCTCCACTGCTTTCTATTACATCCAACCCAGAATCATCACATCTCGAGATGCCCATTTACTTATTTGCTGGTGTTCTTCACTGTTTTGAGTGTAGCACTTCAATGCCTAGGTTCTCTGAGACTGTAATGGACCATGGAAGAGAGCTCTTTAGTAATTGTATGTCACAGGGCCCCTCTATAATTCCTGTCATTTTCTCCAAACCTGTCTGTGTATTTTAATACACCACAGGAGCCCTGGAGTTAGAAATAATCAATGTCCATCTTTTTATTGTCTTGACAGAAGGAGGGACCTGCGAAGTGATTGCAGCCCACAGGTGTTGTAACAAGAACCGTATAGAGGAGCGGTCGCAAACAGTGAAGTGTTCCTGTCTACCTGGGAAAGTGGCTGGGACAACAAGAAACCGACCTTCCTGTGTGGATGGTAAGTAATGGGTTTTAACCCTTTCTATTGGATATCCACTCATTAATTCACTGCACACAACATACGATGTGTTTTCTTGTGTAAACTGTGTTTCTGGACAATGGACAAGGCATATCTAAACTGTTGTGATGCTAAATGTCACAACTCAGCATATATGTGGAACTTTTGTTCCTTTTGTGTTAGGTTTGAATGTCTACTTCAAAACTCATGTTGAAGGCAAACTGCCATTTTGATGATTCAGGAAATGAGGCATCTGGAAGGTGACTGAGTCATGAGGGCTGCACCATCGTGAGTGAAGTTAGTGCTATTAAAAAAGGGGAGTGTAGCCCCTCTTGTGCCCCTCCTTTTCTGGTTCCCATTATGTAGTGAGGAATCATGAAAGGCCTCCATTAGAACATGAACATCCATCAGAAACACTCATGAAGTTCCCACTATGTAGTGAGGAATCATGAGAGGACAACATCAGAATACAAACGTCCATCAGAAACACTCATGCCTTGATCATGAACATCCAAGTCTCTAGAGCTGTGAAAATTAATTTATTATGTTTGTATGCTATCTAGTCACAGGTGTTCTGTTATAGAAGCACACACACACAAGGGGGGTTAAGGAGAGAGAGACATCTGGCTTGAGCGATTTCACATATTTTAATATAAAACTGGACTCGCTGAACATAGCAGACAGTGAGGACTACTGAGAACTCAAGAACAATGGCAATGGGTTTTTGATCCTACTGCACGTACTGGCTTTGGGGGAGCCTAGTCTGTTTGGATGCTCAGCTTACTAGACCTGGATGGAGCTGGGTGGTCCTTGGACTTCCCACAGGGCAGGGAACTCTGATTGCTCTTTGGGCTGACGAGGGAGGGGGACTTGATTGGGGGAGGGGGAAGGAAATGGGAGGTGGTGGCGGGGAGGAGGCAGAAATCTTTAATAAATTAATAAATAAATAAAAAGGAAAACTAAGTAAAGGAAACTTTAGAACAAAAAATTGTATGGATTCAACTTATTTGGAAAGAATTTTGTTTGGGATTATGGTAGTGTTAGTAATAGGAAAGTTTGCAGTACCTAAAGTTCATTTAAAAGATATTTAGTGATCACAAATTATCTGCCAGGTATCACTCTAGTTGCTTTGGATATATGAGTGAGTGAACACCATTGTCTGAGTATGTGCTAAAATCTGGTACACATTGCTCATTGCTGTTTTAGCTAATCCTAACAAAACACTTACTGTTGTTATATGAGGTTTCTATTCTGTGTGTTATAAATCACACTCAAATTTAACAGCTGAAAATACCAAACACTGGACTAGGGTTGTGATTCAGTTGGTAGAATGCTTGCTTAGCATGCAGAAGGCATTGAATTCAAACCCCAACATGGCATAAACTTGGTGTAGTTATGCATACCTGTGATCACAATGGCTGGAAGGTAGAAATGGAATCAGAGTCATCCTTGGTTACATGGGAATTTCAAGACCAACCTGGATTACATATAACCCTGTATCAAATAAATAGATTAAGTTAAATTTCCAATGTTATCTTACCATGCCTGTGGATTAAGACTTAAACTTAGCTGGGAGGTTCTGTCTTGAAAGTGCTCATGGAGCCGCAATTGAGTTCTATCATGTTGACTGGTGCTAGTGGGAGATTTTAGGATGGCTTGTTCATATAGCTGTTGGCAAGTACTATGGTTCTCTGCCATGTGAACCTATCCATTGGAGCTTGGTTTCTTTATAATATGAGGGTAGGTACTCCCCAGAGTGCCTGCAAGAAAGCAGAACATAAGTTCCAATGCCCTTTATGTTAAACCTTAGAGCTCGTGTGTCATTATTTTGTTGCTATCCTATAGGTTACATCAGTCTACCCTCTTTAGTATAAAGCTGGTTGCCAAAACATAAAGACAAACATACAGAAATCATAAGAGGCAATGGCAAAGACTGGATATCAGAGGAGGCTGTTTCTTTCCCAATGCAAGCATAAAGAAATAGACTAAGGATAGCAGGATAATCCCCTTAATACATGCTTTGACAGTTTTTTTCTTTTGTGACTCTTAATGCCAGTATCGCAGACTTTAATCCTAAATCTTGCTGACACCTTAAGATAATCTTATATACTATGGCCAAGCAGGGAGACTGTGCTTCCCTACAGTTAATAAAATTTAAAGGTTTAGGTGTGATTTGATTTCGTGATTCTTCACCAGGGTAGTTGAGACTCAGAGAAATGACCCATGAGTGCAGGGTCATAGAGCAGGACTGAGAACTTCTATCTCTTGGCTTAGGTCCTCTCTTCTTTTTCTAGATATGCAGGGTAAGGAGGACACTTCCTAGATAAGATTGCATTTTGTATTTTTCTTTTTGGACTAGTCGGTGGTTGAGAGAGAAGCACACTCAAGTTATGACAAGGAAAAGATAAGTTATTTTAGAAAGTACAAGAATTCTGCAGGAACCACTGGCAGTTGCTGTCTTTGTTCTTCCTTTGATTTCTGATCTTTGCTTACTTCATTCTCCTTTTTAGGGCCTGATTCTCTCTTCAAGTATTTGCTTCACACTCTCATATGAATTAGAAATGGTAAAAGGCACCACTCTGATCTTACTTGGCTTAATAGTAAAGCTTCAGTAAAGCATATTTAACCAAGATCCCATGCTGTAAATAAGATTTGTGAGACAACAGTGTGTGTGTGATTGGTCCAACGTGGGTCAAGAGGTCAACTTTTGCCTGGTCAACGACAGCCAGAGGAACAAGCATACATGGCCATCAATCTGTCCTTCTATTCCATGGAAAAGTCAATTTAGTCTTGAAGGATGTGACTACCCAAATTTTAGAATATAGTACTATCAGTTCTGTACTGTAGCAGTGTGTCCCAGGAGTCACTTGGTAATATCGATCAAGAAGGGGAGTGTTACTACTGCTGGCCCTACCAAGGAATACTGCTAAGCATCCACATTACACTGGACTCCTCCCCTGACCAAAGGATTTACAACAGTGTCATTGGTACTGAGGTTGACTGACTTAGATTGTGATTTGGACTGTTTTGTATCACAATGAACACCATGAAGAATTGGTAATGAGGGAAGGAAGACAGCTAGCCTACTAAAGCCATATTGGCCTATTACAGGAGGAAGTACTTGCCAAGAAGGCAGGAGGCATTGTACTGCATAAAGCTACAATGGTCTCTTAAGTTCTTGGCCAAAGAAAGCATTGAGGTTGTTACCTATAAATCTTCATCCTGCTTCTAGTTTATTTTCATCACTAACAATCTAGAATGGATTTGCCTTCAGATTTTGGATAAAAAACACAAAGTACAGTGTATTGGCTGTGCTGAGAGAGTGAGAAATTGCATTTGGCTCTAATTTTGTGTTGGATGATGAACCATATGACAGCAATATTTTCATCTCACGACAAGTTTATTTAATTTTGGAAACTATTGTCAGTGTGATTGTTTCAAACAAAAAGACCACCACCTCCGTATTCCAAGAAAAAATAATTTAAAAGTTCTTTAGTATGATGATGAATATTCACATTTAAATAACACTTCAATTTCAAATCTATGGGCTGTAACATGGAGGGTCCTGTTTGTTGTTGGGTATTTTGTCCCGCCTGGTACCCCACAACTGTTTAACCCCAAAGAAAATCACACAGAGATCTCTATAAGTTATAAAGCTGATTGGCCCATTAGGTCAGGCTACTTATTAGCTCTTGTAGCTTATATTAACCCATTATTCTGATCTATGCTAACCATGTGGCTCAGTACCTTTTTCAGCTGGCAACCTACATCCTGCTGCTTCAGTGGCCTGGGCAAGAGTGGGAGGAATCAACTTTCTGCTTCCCAGAATTCTCCTGTTCTCATTTCATCACCTCTACTTCCTGTCTGGTTTCCCCGTCTATACTTCCTGCCTGGCCAATCAGCATTTATTTAAAACATGATTGACAGAATATAGACAATTCTCCTGCACCAATGGGCATGTATGAACAAGTACATGTAGCCATCAATTAATTTGTTTGGAAAACCTAACACTCAATATGAAAAAAATAAGTACGGAGCAATCATTTTGATGGAGTTGCTAGAATATTGGACTACATTATTCTACCAGAATCACAGCTAAACCTTTTACCAGTAGAACAGCCTCTGGCAACGTGTGTCTCTCTCACCACAGTGTGTTGTCCTCTCCAAAATGAGAATGCGAAGGATTAATGCCTCCTGGAGCTGAGGTAAGGAATAATAAAACACTGATTGTAATGTGATTTCCACATTGGCACTCAAGTGTTCTCTAAATTATAGGTTCTATTTCTTATCTTACTAGTAAGTGTGAATAATTGTTAGAAAAATCACTGTCATGTAAATTCAGCATGGTGGCATCTTGACCCCCATGTGTTCTGAGAATATTTTCCAACCAATCATCCTGGATAGCATCGATTGCTTCTCAGGAGTTCAAGTTCATTGTAGGGATTTTTAAAGCCATAGATAAATAATACCCATACATTGAAAACATCCATGATATCATTTCCAGAAATGGTCATGGCTTTGGTGATTGCCTTATAGTCCTAGCCAAACACCCAAATGTAAAAGCTCGATGGAGATATTTACTAGATTTAGATTCTGTGACACTAATTGATAGAGGGCTCATTTAACTTAATATATGAAAAATATTTCCCATGTTTGTGAATATTCTTCCAGACATAATTGTCAATAACTACATAGGATTCTCAATGATTAAATATACCTTCATTTATTCACTCTCTGCTTTCCACACTTGCAATATTTTTTGAATTCCCCTTACTCTCTTCCCTAAGAGGCAGAGACAGAAGGTCAACCTGGGCTGTGGAGCTCCAGGAGACCTCATGCATCAAATATAGTTAAAAGCAACATCTGGTATTACCACACTTGAGCTTCAAAGGCTTTCTTGTAAGATTCAAATATATAGGTAAATAGGAAAAGACATTACAGAAATATGATATACTTCGAGCGATGTCTGTATCTTCCTATTAGATATCATAGGAATTGTA